ACATAGGATTCCTTTTCCCCGAACAACAACATATCGTGCGAAGGAGTCATTGGATCTTGTCCATGGAGATCTATGTAGACCTATTTCACCAATGACTTATGAAGGTAACAGATATTTTATGTTACTAGTGGATGATTTTTTACGATTTATGTGGGTGTTTATGTTGAAAAAGAAGAATGAAACACTGGTGGAATTTAAAAAGTTCAAGATCAATGTGGAGGGAGAGAAAGGCAAGAAGATTAAGAGCTTTAGAATGAATCGTGGAGGAGAGTTTGTATCTACTGCTTCTAAAGACTATTGCGAGAATGAAGGCATGAAGAGACTTCTTACTGCACCATTTTCACCACAGCAAAATGGCGTAGTAGAAAGGCGTAATCGAACGGTGGTAGAGATGGCTAGATGTATGTTAAAGAGCAAAAAGATGCCCCAAAATTTTGGGGAGAAGCTATCAAAACTGCCGTGTATATTCTGAACAAATCGCCAACAAAAGGAGTTGCAGATGGTATACCGTATCAAGCTTGGTTTGACAAGATACCAAAGGTTCATCACTTTAAAATCTTTGGGTGTCTTGTTCATGCCAAGAATACATATTCACACCTTCCTAAACTTGCTAATAGGAGTGTGAAGACAACTATGTTGGGATATGAAGATGGAACCAAAGCTTACAGGTTATTGGATCCACAAAAGAACGAAATTATGGTGAGCCGGGATGTGGTGTTCGAAGAGGAGAAAAAGGGGTGTTAGGAAGAAATCACAAACGGTAATGATGAACAAAGAGGAACTTTCATCGTTCAAATTTCAGAAAAACAGAGTAGAACAAAGGAGAGGAATATTGAACATATCGAAGTTGATCCAGATGAAAGACAAAGGGAAAATTCAGCCTCAACTTTATCAACACCAGACAGTACCTCAAATGCATCATCATCAAGCTCATCAATGTCGAAAAAATTCAGATCTCTAGAAAATATTTATAGAGAACGGAACGAAGTAGAGGAGGAAGCAGTGGACCTTTGTTTTCTTTCTATGGAGCAGCCAACCTCATATGAGGAAGCTGCTAAGAATGAAAACTAGAGGAATGCCATGATGTCTGAAATTCTCCCCATTAAAAAGAACAGAACGTGGGAACTCACAGATTTGCCAAAGAATCATAAAGCAATCGACATTAAATGGATTTTCAAATTAAAGAAAAATCCAGATGGAGAAATCATGAAACATAAGGCGAGACTTGTGGCAAAGGGATATGCACAGTAATTTGGTGTAGATTACAGTGAAGTATTCGCACTAGTGGCCAGGTTAGAAACAGTGAGATTAATTCTTGCCTATGCAGCCATTAAGAACTGGGAAGTACATCATATGGATGTAAAGACAACTTTTCTGAATGGCGAGTTAGAAGAGGAGGTGTATGTTATTCAACCAAAGGGTTCATTGACAAGGAAAATCCAAACATGGTGTTAAAACTATGTAAAGCCTTATATGGATTAAAACAGGCTCCGAGGGCCTGGAATTTTAAACTTGATCAATGTTTGCAGCCACTTGGTTTTGTTAGATGTCCACAGAAATATGCTCTCTACAAGAAAATTAATGGACTTGAGCAATGATAATCGGCACATATGTGGATGACTTAATCATAGCGAGCTCAAACAAACAAGTTATAGCTCAATTCAAGGAAGAGATGCACCAGAAATTTGAGATGAGCGATCTTGGACTTTTGAGCTATTACTTGGGTATTGAGGTACAATAAAGCAGTGAATCAATCACTTTATGTCAGGCTGGATATGCAAGAAAAATCCTAGAGAAGCTAGGAATGGGGGAGTGCAATCCTTGTTTGATTCCCATAGAACCAAGAATGAAGATGAGCAAACATGGGAATAGAGAACCTGTGGTTGACAAAACACTTTACAGAAGTGTTATTGGAAGCTTACGCTATCTGGTTAATACCTGGCCCGACATAGCCTACTCAGTTTGTGTGATGAGTAGATACATGGAGTCACCAACAACTTCACATCTCACAGCAGTAAAACAAATATTGAGGTATGTGAAAGGTACTCTAAGTTTTAGTTGTGTTTATAAGAAGCTATCGAATGTGGAGCTGGTAGGATTTAGCGACAATGATATGGATGGGGATATTGATGATAGGAAGAGTACAACTGGAGTGTTGTACTATTTGGGAGTAAATTCAATAACCTGGGTATCACAAAAGCAAAAGGTGGTGGCTTTGTCATCATGCGAGACTGAGTATATAGCCGCAACTGCTGGAACATGTCAAGGAGTATGGTTGGGCAAGATTTTGAGTAACCCAAGCTTAATGTTGACAACAAGTCCGCTATAGCATTGGCGAAAAATTCTGTTTACCATGATAGAAGTAAGCACATTGATTCCACAAATCCATTAGCAAGACAACGATTCCTGGAGTTAAGAGAGAAGATTGGCTTGAAGATATTCTGACAAAGCTATTAGCAAGACAACGATTCCTGGAGTTAAGAGAGAAGATTGGCTTGAAGATATTCTGACAAAGCTATTAGCAAGATTGGCTTGAAGATATTCTGACAAAGCTATTAGCAAGACAACGATTCCTGGAGTTAAGAGAGATCCTGAAGTTAAGAGAGAAGATTGGCTTGAAGAAAGTCGATCATTAGCAAGACAACGATTCCTGGAGTTAAGAGAGAAGATTGGCTTGAAGAATTTCGATTCAACATAGTTAAACAAGTTTAGAGGAGTGATTGTTGGTTACGACTCTCCACAATGGTATGATATTGTCCACTTTGAGCATAAGCTTTCATGGCTTTGCAAGGCTTTCCCAAAAGTCCTCATACCAATGGAGATAGTATTCCTCATTTATAAACTCATGATCTTCCACTAAATTAACCAATGTGGGACTCACTCACAATAATCCTCAACATTATATGCCCCTAAAAAGAACTTTCTTCCTCGAAGGTCTCAAACTCCAAGATTAACTTAGGGTATTTTTCCTTTATTCCCACTTATCGTTCTCACGTACCTTCTTTGGTTTGATGATTCTGCCATAATACTTTGACAAAACCTATGTCCCTATTACATATGGCTTTCATCCCTAGCTAGGATCTTAATCGGTTTCTCTTGGTAGCTTAGGTCTTCCTCGATCTCGAGGTGTCTATAGTCTATCATGTGCGTTGGGTCTGTAATGTACTTCCTCAACATAGATACATGGAATACATCATATCACGTGCATAGGGTCTGAGTTTGTTCGTTCTAAGATTTAGAAAGGTCTGATAAAGCATGGGCTTAGCTTTCCCTTGTGTCCGAATCTTATGACACATTTCATTGGAACTACTTTTAGGAACACCAAGTACCCCTTTCCAAACACGAAGTTCCTATGCCTAATGTCGGCGTAGCTCTTTATCCTACTTTGTGTGGTGCGCATCCTTGCTCTAATTTTCTATAACGCCTCGTTTGCAATGCGGACCAACTTGGGTCATATTAGTTCTCGTTCTCCTACTTTGTCCCAACACAATGAGGATCTACACTGTTTTCCATATAATGCTTCAAACGGTGTCATCTCAATTGTTGCTTGGAAACTATTATTGTACGAGAATTCCATTAAGTGTAGTTTGGTGTCCCAACTTCCCGTTAAATCCATAACACATGCCCGAAGCATGTCTTTTAAGATTTGGTTCAACCGTTACGTTTAACCATCAATCTGTGGATGGAAGGTAGTGCTAAAGTCGAGGTAGATGTTAGATAAAACCTGAGGTTTTTCTTATTTAGCTCTGCAAGTTTTCATTAATTGATTGAATACATTCATTTGACCAAACCCGTCAAATGGATTACCAAATTTTTAGATGGCAATTTTGTAGGAAGTGGCACAGATTTAGTTGGCCATTTTTAGGATAAATTAGATATTTAAATAAATAAATCTCTTAAGAAGATTTCATCACCTCTTTGAAGCAAAAGTCTTCACCAATTCTCTCTCTCTGTTATTTTTCGCATTTTTATTTTCTTCTAACAACTTCACGTCCAACGATTTCCTCTCACCGAATTATCCTTCCCAATTATCGAAAAACAACGAGTGGTATCAGAGCCCGGTTGAAGCCATCGATGGTATATAATTGCGGAGGAGCCAACCTTATCAGTAGTCAAGTTGAATAGCTCAAGGGGTTAGAGCATCGACCTAACAACGCACAGGTCTCAGGTTCGAGTAGAAGAAAATGCAAAGCGCAAAAATAAACACATCGTGGGGTCCATCCCGAGCAGGCTAGCTCACTTTTATACCAACAACTTCCCGTCAAACGATTTCCTCTCACTGGATTATCCTTCCCGATTATCGAAAAACAACAGTAGGTACCCAACACTTTTTTGAGTCCGCGCCAAAAGGCCGACGTAAAGCGTGAGTCCTAGTCCGACATTATTGATACTGAGATTCCGTGCAACCTCACAATTTCTTTCACATACAGTTGAGCCCAATTTTCTACGTACATGTTGCCTTACCCAGTAGGAAGTGCGCCGACTTTATCAGTTGGTCGACAATTACCCAAATTACCGTGTAACCCTTTAATCTTTTGGATAAGCCTACTATGAAATCTGTAGCAATATTCTCCCACTTCCACTCCGCTATACTTAGAGGTTGTAGCAGTCCGGTCGTTTTCTGCCTAGGGACTTATACTTAGTGGCACACTAGACATTTACTCTCGTATTCTGCAATATCCTTTTTCATACTTTGCCACTATAAGTGTTGTTTCAGGTTTTGGTACATCTTCGTACCACCTAGGTGTATTGAGAAGGGTGAGTTGTATGCCTCAGTTAGGATTTCGTTCTTTATTTCACTCAAAGTGGGGACACATAAATGTCCTTGACATAATAGTCCATCGTCTGTTGACTTAGAAAAGTTGTTCACTAGGTCTGCTAATAATTGGTCTAGAATTTTATTTAGGCTAGGGTCCTCTCGTTTGTGAGTCTATAATCTACTATTTGAGCGTGGGTCGCACTGTAAGTCCGGTTATTTGAGCTATCACCTCCTCGGTTACTACCTCTATGTCAACTCGTTTGAAGTCCGCTTGCAGTCGTGGCTCTCTTATGATGAAGGCCGATGAGTGTAACGTTTTTCGACCTAATGCATCTACGACTACGTAGGGTGGTACTGGATGTCTATATCGTAATCTTTTACTAGTTCTAACCACCTTCGTCGTCTCATGTTCAATTCTTTCTGGGTGAAGAAGTATTTTAAACTTTTATGATCTATGTAAATTTGGGTCTTTTCGCCATACAGGTAGTGTCGCCAAATTTTTAATCCAAACACTACCACTGCTAGTTCTAGGTCATGTGTAGGATAGTTTTTCTCGTAGTCCTTTAATTAGCGTGATGCATACGCAACAACATTGCCATATTGCATTAATATGCAGCCTAGCCCCTTCTTGGATGTGTCGCTATATATTATGTAGCCCACCGAGGTTTTTGGAATTGTGAGCACTAGGGCGGACACTAACTTTGTTTTAAATCTTGAAAACTGGCCTCATAGGAATCGTTGCACGAAAAAGATACGCTATTTTTTGTTAGTTAGGTGAGAGAGAGGGTATCTTAGAGAAGTTTTGGACAAATCTTTGATAGTAACCTGCCAACCCCAAGAAACTACGTACCTCTATGACCGTAGTTGGGCATTCCCATTTCATGACAGCTTCTATCTTAGTGGGATCTACTAAAATTCAGGCTTCAGACACCACGTGTCCTAAGAAAGAAATTTGTCGTAGCCAAAATTCACATTTGGAAAATTTGGTATACAATTTATTCGTCCTTAAGATAGTTATGGCTTTTCAAAGGTGTTCTTAGTCCATTTTTTAGTATGTTAGGATATCATCTATGAACACAATCACGAACGTGTCTAAGCACTCCTTGAATACTCGATTCATTAATTCCATGAACATTGCTGGACTGTTAGTGAGACCAAAGGACATTACTACAAACTCGTAGTGGCCATATTTGGTTCGACATGCTGTTTTTAGTATATCTTTGTCTTTAATCTTAATTTGATGGTATCCTGATCTATTTTGGAAAATATTGTTGCTTCTCGTAGTTGGTCAAATAGGTTCTCGATGCGTGGTAATGCGTATTTGTTCTTTATCGTTCTCTTATTTTGTTCTCTGTAATCAATGCACAGACGCATCGAACCGTCTTTCTTTTTAACAAACAACACTTGTGCACCCTAAGGGGATACGCTAGGTTGAATGAAACCTTTATCTAATAAGTCCTGTAGTTTTAATATAAGTTCCTTTAATTCAGCTAGGGCCATGCGGTATGGGTACCGAATTCCTTGTTTTCTCTTTTCCTTTTGTGTCTACTGCACAGGCTAGAATCATCCACTCCCCTTTTTGTACTAGGCGTCTGGCTTTCATCATATAATTTTTGGGGTGGTGCCTGTGCAACTTCCTTTAAATTTAAAGGTAAGTCCATTTGGAGGTGTGAATACTACTCCTTTCTTATGGAAGTCTATACTAGCAAAGTTTTCGGCTAGCCAGTCCATTCCTAGTATGACGTTGAAATCTGTCATATTTACTACTTTTAGGTCTACTTTGATGATTCATCCAGCTACTACTACTTGTCCGTCTTTTACTCTATTTTCAATAACTAGGTCTACCCCCATTGGGGTATCAACCAACAACACATGCAATAAGGGTTCAACTATGAACTTTACTTGACTAACTAAAGGCAAGGAAACAAAAGAATGGGTTGAACCCGAATCAATCAACGTTAATGTAAAGTGTCCTAGTATGGAAAGCGTTCCTGTCACCACGGTGCCAGATGTTCCCGCATCCTTATTGGTCGTTACATATGTCCTGGTCTGTGCGCGGGTTTGCATGGTGGGTTCTTGAATAATCAGGCCTCTAGGGGGTTCCTTGGGTTTCCCGTGTCCCTTACAGGGCAGAATTTGGTTAGGTGACATGCATGACTTCACCTATCACATACACTAGAACCTGTCACCACAGTGTCAAATGTTCCCGCATCCTTATTGGTCGTTGCATATGTCCTGGTCTGTGCGCGGGTTTGCATGGTGGGTTCTTGAATAATCAGGCCTCTAGGGGGTTCCTTGGGTTTCCCGTGTCCCTTACAGGGCAAAATTTGGTTAGGTGACATGCAAGACTTCACCTATAACATACACTAGGACCTGCCATACATCTGCCGCAATGTTGCTTCCCACATTCGCGACATAGGGGGTTTTCGCGTTTCGGTTTTGGGTTTGGTCTACTGGGGACGGGGCAGGTCGCCTGTCATGATATCGAGGTCTCTGAGGTGGCAGTTTGAATTATGCCGGTCTAGCCTCAATGGGGCATTTCTTTCCTACGACGACTGTTGACTCTAGGTTTTTCTCTTCCTGAGGTTCCTCCAAGACCTTGGTCGTCCTCAACGCCTCTTCGTAGGTTTTTGGGTTAAATGCTTCCACCATGCGGCGGGCTTTCGAGTTCAATCCCAACACTAGTGACGGTTGTGGATTGTTGGCTTGTTGTGTTGCCATCATTGTGGCTTGCTGCGTGGGCTTTCGAATTCAATCCCAACACTAGTGACAGTTGTGGATTGTTGGCTTGTTGTGTTGCCATCATTGTGGCTTGCTGCATGGCTATCATTGTTTGCATCATCGCCTGGAATGATTCCCACATTAATTGTGTAGTGGGATCCAATCCAGCTGTTGGTATTACTAGAGGTGGTGCAGCTTGTGGTGGAGGTGTGTTTTTTGGAGGGGGTGCAACTTGTGGGGGAGGTACAACTTCTGGAGGAAGTACGGGTTGTAGCGGGGGTTCACTTGGTGGTAGTTTGAGTGCATAAGGTCTAGTGCTTTTCTCCGTCCTTTTCTCATCCTATGCTAAGTGTACCTGACAACGATAAGGCATCGACGATTGGACCGTGGAACATGTCAAGCCTACGTCATAAGCTAGCCTACAAGATCTATAACTTAGAACTCTAATACCAGCTGTAACAACCTGCTAGCAGATATTGTCTTTTTTAAGCTTTTCCTTCGGACTTCCCATCAAGTTTTTTAGAACTGTTTGGTAAGGAAAGGTTTCCACACCCTTATAAACGTTGTTTCCTTCTCCTTCCCAACCGATGTGGTTTCTCACATTGAATGTATCAATAATATAAAAATAATATTAAGAGATTTTATAATGGATAACTAAATAGCAAATATAACAAGAATCTAGAGTTTAAGGAATATGAAAAATAATTGGAATTTTCTTTTAAATTTTCATATTTATCAATTAATGTAATTTATATTATGTATATTGTTGATACATTAGCTGTAACACCTGCTCATCATCAACACGATTCACAGGAGCTACCACTAATATCGATAATAAACTCCGACAACCAATCATAAATTTCAAAATATTTCCAAAAACATCTGTTAAAATATTTAAAACCAGTACTATTTAAAACTTAAAATGACCAAAGTAAATTCTTGACAACGAAAGCATAAGTACACAAAACAGACACAGACATGGATTCCCAGTAGTCTCTAGCCTGCTGGTCTCGTCCTCGGTGAGCCTGCATCATGTAAATCTGGAAAGAAAAGTTATAATAATTTTGATGAGTAATTAGATTACCCAGTAAGTATAGCTTATCATTCATGAGTTCATAACTAATCTTTCCAGGTGTTTTTAAGTTTTATTCGTCGTTGACTCCTAGTTTCTCTTATTAGGGTCATCTGTTCATTAATGAGGTATCTCAGCTACCTCCAGCTTAAGTTACTGACTCTCTTTTGATATGCTTATCTAGAATTTTCGGACTCGTATGTAAGACTCGCTCTCGGTCAAATACGACCTGTCTACTAATTTCTCTAGCGGCCTGTTTATCTCATATACCAATGGTCAGGAGTACTCATGCTCCCTGACTTAGCACACAGCGCGTTGTCAGGAACTCCGCGAGAATTAGTAGACTATCAGACTCATATAAATAAGCCATGGCACACGATCTATAAGCATATCCTAGAGTCATAACCTTTCCATTAACCTGAATAGCATACTCACATCTGATGCATGCTTTTATACATTTACAATGTTTGATACATAGAACATTCTCGTAATCATTTATAACATGCTTACATCACAAGCAAGCAATCACAATATATAATAAACATTCAATATCATCAATGCTCATTTTAACGTTTTAAGCTCTTAATCACGTAAACAACGTACTCACATGTTGTAAACAAGTTAAGAATTAGCTTAAAGAACGATATGCTACTTACTTGATTTCGAACTCCTTTTTCCTTGGATGTATGTTTAATAGGGTATTTCAACACAATTCCTTCCTATTAGACCTATATTTCACCAATTTCAAGATAAGTATAGGCCAATTTTAATAGGACAGGTCGAAAGGAGTCGAACGGGACAAGTCGGGAGCCAAAACGACGACGCACGCGCCTGCACACGCTCGGCGTGTTTGTCCCACGTGCCAGGAGAACTCCCAGTCGCGACTCCTCACGCACCTCGCATGTCCCTCACGCGCACGTCTTTAACCTCTGTTTCTTGCAATTTTTTTCCCAAACTTGTCCTTTAATACCCGTATCCCTAAGCCATATCTTACTTCTACAATCCGAATTTCATCTCGATTCTTTCTACAACTTTGTAGATCTTCTTGTTATGATTCTAACAAGCGCTATTTCATAACTTATCATGCAATATAGACCATGATATCGAGTTTTAAAAGTTCGGTGATATGGATTTTGCGTTACCTTCGAATAAACGTTCGATTCAGCTTAAATTCAGAGCTTCAATGGCTGAAAATCATCGCACTCGTTCCCCCATCCTCACGTTTGCACACTACCACCACAATTGAACGAAGAATCTTTCGAATTACCGAACACATGGTTAAGTTTCTCATTCCTCTGTTTTCTGGGTTTCAACCCTCCATTACCCTTCGATTTCAAATCCTAATCCATTCCCTATCTTGCTTCCCCACCATCTAGTAGACCCTTCTTCATTCCACACCTCCATCTTCCTCGCTTTTCTCCCACGTCCACCTGTCATTCCCCTCATCCTCCCTGGTAGCAGCGAAGCTGCTGCTGTCTATCTTTTTTTTTTAAAAATTAATTAATTAATATTATTATTATTATTATTATTATTATTTGGGATTATTACATTAGCACTCTTGATCAAGTATAGATTTATATTTATCATTGTTTGACTTATATGATACTCATATTTATTATTATTATTATAATTTATTGGTTTTGCAAGTATACCTAATATTAACAACAATAAATTACAACTTATTAGCGAAAGTAATAATTGAATGCACACGAAAGTATTAAGGAAAAAAATGTGAAAGACAAAAAAAAAAAAAAAAAAAAAAAAAAAAAAAAAAAAAAAAAAAAAAAAAAAAAAAAAAAAAAAA